TTTTTTTTCTGTCATTGTATATTATGCTATTTACCTGGAAACTTCATAGAATGAACCTTAGTGTTAGGTAGTTTCCATGTCACATTTCTTTGCGTAGTATTCATTTTTAGTGATAACAATGAATGAGTTAATACTACCCAAATAAAGAGACAATCCCAAATATGCTTTCGCTACAATGAAAATATTTGATTTGTTATGCCCAAATTTTTAATTCTTTTTGGTTCTAATACTTTTTCCCCTCCTCTTTTCTACTGTAGTGCCTGATTTCCAGAAGCTCTTGATTGGAATATTTGTTACTTTAACAATTATAATTACATGCTCTGTTTTCATCTATAAAATCTTCAAGGTTGATATTGTGCTTTGGTACAGGGATTCCTGCTCTGATTTTCTTCCCCCCAAAGGTATAATTTTTGCATTCTTTGAAGTATTTTCTCATTGAAGAGGGCATAGTTAGGAGAGGTAGAAGATGACTAATAGGAATTTTACTGAAGGTTCAAAATGATATGTGGTAGCATGTACAAGAATAGTAGTTATTCTTATGGATAATTCTTGTTTCACAACTGACTAGGCTGAATGCCTTATTACTTTAGTTATTCTTTTAGCATTTATATGATGGGATAAGTAGGTATTGAGAGCATCTGTCAATAAATTCAGTCAGTGACGTGCTTTATGCTGTGTAGGACATACATCACTTCAAAATTCACTTCGAAAAGAAAGAAATGACTAGATTTTCACAAATCAGAGAGACTTGCAAAAAATACTACAATAATATATATATATAACATATAAAATACTATAATATAAATATATATAATATATAAAATTAAGAATAGATAGAATTCTGGGAAGAGACATTTGGGGAAGAATATAAAAACAAGGAGCTGTGAATATTTCTATACCAAATGTACAAAAATTGGCCAATAAATGCAATATAAGAACAGTTTCGTAGTAAAGCACAATGAATCGGAAACTCCTAAGAGACGAATACTTAAAAAAGTATTGGTTCTGAATGCACTGCATGTCTTCATTTTTCCTTTAGCCTCAGATGGAAAGATCTACGATGCATATATCCTCTACCCAAAGACCTTTGGGGAAGCGTCCACCTCGAACTCAGATATTTTTGTGTTTAAAGTGTTGCCTGAGGTCTTGGAAAAGCAGTTGGGATATAAACTGTTTATTTATGGAAGGGATGATTATGTTGGAGAAGGTATGTATATAATGCAAAAGAATAGACGGTTGACTGTTGTGAAACTAGTTGCTAAATCTGGGACCCGTCTTTCTGGAGGTCTCAACGCAGGTGTACCTATATTACAGTTTTAAGACTCTCTTCAGACATGTATGAAGGTGATTTTCACATTTATTAAATGTATTCACTTCTCCCAGAGTTTATTAGATCAATAATTAATTGATTTTTATTGTTTTGGAAAACACATTGATTCATTAGACCTAGTAGTTAATTTTACGACGGATATTATAACATAGGAGTGGTGTCGATCAAATGATTTAACCAGAAACTTTTAAAATTTTGACTTAAAGTTTTCTGAGTTCTCAGTGAATATTCAAGTTTTGTAGGCCAGTTTATAAGTGAGTATATAAAATGGGAAAGACTTCTCATCTTAAGGAAGGCAAGAAAAAAACCTTTAGGAGCTATAGGGACGGAGTGGGAAGAAACTTGTAAGGTGTTGCTTCCAGAGAAAATGATTATACATAATAATTTGACTGTCTGTGCTGTGCTTCATGTTTTTTAGATGCTATTGAGGTCACTAATGCAAACATCAAGAAAAGCAGAAGACTGATCATCATTTTGGTGACAGACATGTCAGACTTCAGCTGGCTGGGCCATTCATCTGAAGAGCAAATAGTGATATACAATGCTCTCATCCAGGAGGGCATTAAAATTGTCCTGCTTGAGCTGGAAAAAATCCAAGACTATGAGAAAATGCCAGAATCCATTAAATTCATTAAGCAGAAACATGGGGCTATCTGCTGGTCAGGGGACTTCAGAGAGGGACCTCAGTCTCTAAAGACCAGGTTCTGGAAACAGGTCCGGTACCATATGCCAGCCCAGCGGCGATCTCCTTCATCCAAACACCGGTTATTGTCCACGGCCCAGGAGTCAGACTCTAAGGAGAAGCAACAAAGGGAGGTTCACCTGCCTCTCGGGTAGCATGGAGAAGCTTGGCCAAGAATTTTTTGGGTGCATGCAGTCTTAGGGTGTTGAGCCTCCTGCTGACCTAATCTCTGAGGTCACCTGGAATCGCACAGTTAAGGGAGCAGGACTAGGTGACAATGGCAGGCCAGGGCAACTCAGATTAGAGGGCTTGGGAAAGCCTTTATAAAGGCCCTCTCTGAATGTTGAACTTCGGAGAAGAAGGCACTGAGACAGTGAGTTGGAAGAAGAAAAAAGAAAAAAAAACATGAAAGGAATGTCCATCTAGAGACAATTTTATTAAGTTATCCACAGACTGATGGTGGGGCCTTGGCCATCTCTGGGGACACTGCAGGATCACTGGCCCCGGAGAGTCTCTTTTGGGCAGCACTGCAGATGACGTGTGCCTGACACCGCACAGAGGAAGGTAGATGTCTTCTTGGAGAACTTTCCACGGCTTGCATTTTCCATACACATCCACAATGAGTCGTCACTTTCCAAAGACCAGATTGCATTTTATAGACCTCGAGAGAGGTATCTATCGTTAAAATGAAAAAGGGGCTTCTCCAGGATTCCAAGGCTGTGAAATCCCCTTAGCTTTCCTTAGAAGACAAAGACTCGTGAAAGCAATAGAAGCAGAAACGGACCCACCTCTTCCACCACTCTTGACTCTTTCCTCCCTGGAATGACTGACCTGAACTTCCACATTCCTCTTCACTTTCCTTGGCTCATTGCTCCTTTGGGAAGACAGCTGTGCTGGTCATCCCACCGAGTCTCGCAGCCTGTTTTCAAAGCCGTCCCCTCACCGTCCTGTGATGTGAGTCCCAGGTTAGCCTCCTGGGCCTCTGCACCGGCTCGGGCGCCTCCATGTTTGCTGAATTTTCTCCTCCCCTCACCAGAAGTCCTTCTTGCGTTTTCTCCAGCTGACCAGCTCTCCAGAGTCAGAGTTGACTTCAGCACTCTGGTTCCTGGGAGCCTTCCCCTAAGACACTGCCACCCTTACAACTCCGTCTGTCCCTCCAATCAGTTAGCTAGTGCTGCCTGTTGCTGGTCCCCTTACAAAGTGGCTCCCCTCGCTGGAATCTGTGCTGAGGAGAGACCATATGTCTCTCTCTGTCCCTTGCTACCTTCCATAAGCAATTTGCACATGAGAAATACATTTGTATAGTGCTTTATTTTTTTTTAATGTTTTTGGGTAATTATACCTAATTTTTGCAATTATTCTAATTTTATGTGGAGAGAAAATGACTCTTTTTAAAATTACTCTTTTAATTCTATTGGATCTGGAACTTGAACCTGTATTTTCCCAGCTTCTAGTCCAATGTTTGAATGTTTGATTTCAAGTCATTAACTGTTCACCCATCACGGATTGCTTTATAGGAGACTACTGAGTCCAGGAGTGTTTTTACATCACAAACAAATCTGATAATTTTCAGTGTTGGAATTTATAAAAATTATGTTTCGGTTTTTATGTACAATATTTTTATTTCCATATGTTCTTTCCTTAAAGGTCAGCATTTCTCAGCCAATTAAAAATGAAAGCAAAGAATGGGTTTTTTTTTTTTTTTTGCACAGAAAAAATGTTTCAAAATTTGCTCACAGTTCTTACGATAATTAGAGCAACTCTGGAAAAATCACAAAGCCAAGTTCACGTGACACACACATGGTTTTCAAAGTTGAATGAACAAGGGCAGTTCTTCTTTTTTTCATATTTTTTGATTACCTAATTATTATGGGTGAAGACAAACACTTATTTCGAAGGATATTTTTCCCCTGAAGCAGTCAGAGCTAGACAAAACCAGAGTTTAATATTTTGACTCTTCCTTTTCTACCTGTACTCTCCTGGGTCTGATCCATAGCACTGAATAATAGTACTGCTTGGGAACTGATGTTTTAAAAGAATTGGGCTCAGTTTCTTTGGCTGCACATAGAGAGCAGGATGTCTCATGAGGTAGAGAGGTGTCAGGACTCCCAAGGTCTGCTAGATACTTTAGAAGTTCTGCTGATGATTTTTATCTAGCATATATCGTGCCAAGGAAGCAAGCCAGTTCTGAAATGTAGAATTAGCTAAGGGGTGAGGGTGGGGACAAAATTGGCCATAAAGCAGGGGGTGAGGGTGGAGACAGCCAAGAATTACAAGTAGCTTAGTACTTAGACTTTAGACAGGAACAAGAATCTCCAACAGGAACGCACAGTGTCAGTCCCCAACTCTCCCGGGAGGATCCCAGAGGATGAAGCCACATTCCTAATCCCTGTGACCTGCCCTTGGATTGTTGTCTTCTCTACCAAACAATTTTAAAAGCTCTTCTTTTCATACTTCCCCCATTAGTTAAATCTTACTGCACTTTTCAATGGTATGCTTTTAAGTCAGTCTAAGTGCTGAAGAAAAGTTTGTAAATGCAACAAAATATTTAATTACCAGTGGTTAAAACTGATTTAGCAGAACCCATATTTTCCCTCCCCTTTCTTTTTAATTTTACTTGCAAT